TAATAAATAAATAAATAATAATTATATTTTACAGATTAAAAACTATTTAGAGTATGTGAATAATATTGTTTGATACCTACCTATAAAATACGTTATACCTGTTTAAAAAAACTTGGTAAATTATAATAGGTGCATTAATACATGTGACTTTACATTTGTTAAGTAAAACGTGGAACTAGTTGTGAACACTTTCATTAGGAATAATAAAATAAAAATGAAAATAGAGTAAAAATAAGCCTCCACAAAATATTTGAGCTAGTTACGCACTTGTGCTACTAAATATTGCTCTTAAAGTTGTAATTTAAAGTTGTTTGAACCATGAATAGTGCTTACTATGTATGATTGTGGTTGGAAAAGTGGTATCATGAATAATATAAAAGTATTAGCCTCTATAAAGGCACTTTAGAGCTTTGAATACTTGCATGGGGGGAGGGGCAAAGCCACCACGTTTTTATATTTTAAACGGGGGCGGTGGTCCGTATAACTTTTGACTTGCCCCCTCCCCCTTTTAAAGGCGGCGATTTAAAAGTATTTCGTTATTCTAGAAATCTAAATCTAAAAATGTCTAAACGCCAAGATTTGAGTTCTAAACGGAAGTACGACGAGTTATTAAGATCATACGACGGATTTCCAAAAATATATACATTTGTTACATGTGTACTTTTTTTAAATTGTGCATACGTTTTTCGAGTATTTTTCATTTTTTTTTTTTTCATAGCACAAACCAAACCAATCGCTTATTAGAAACAATCGGTTAATCGACACATTTCACTTTGGTCCCAAAGCGTTTCTATAATAAGCGGCTGCTTCTGCTGTACTCGGAAATGATGATAAAATGCACTTTACGCTAGTCGATCCTTAGACGAGACACATGTATTACACCCTAACTCGTCAGTAGCAAAACTCAATCGAAACGATAAAAGGAATAATTAAAATATAATATGGCTCGGCGGTTCTGCAGCTGCGTTGAGCATAGTATTGTAATAACTGTCAACTGCCAGACAGTTTTATCGTTCTGATTATGTAGGTACCTATACTGTTGTACGTTTGGTCGTATGACCACTTAAGACGTACCTAGTCGCCGTCGAGAATAGCATCGAATTATTCGTACCTACATGATATTATTATGCCTTAAACGCATTTCTTATCAATGCGATTATTTGTTATTACCTATTTCAAAAGCGAGTGTTGTAAAATATGTAAATTCGCTCGTTCATAAAAACATTGGACGCAATCGAGTCCTGTTTTCGTTTAGGCGTTTTAGTCGTTCGTATAGACTCACATATACAGGTGCACAAGGTGATTCGTCAAGTGCGCTTACCTCCATCGATTTATTCAAATTCTGATTTTTGGAATTTTTAAATACACTCAAAGTCCATATTATAGTGCTATAGTCGAGCTATCGAGGGATTATTTGTGCTACAGTGTCCCGTGACGATACAAGCTTCGTTTTTTTTAAAAATGCGAGAACCACCATTTTCTATGCTGTAAATTATTTGGTGGATAATATTTTTGAAAATTTTGATAGTTCTAATCCAAAGTTCAAATATAGCTTGGTTCACCATGCATGCTCACCCCGATTTTTGCCTTTAATAATGAATCAACAAAAAATACACTCGAAGATCATATTATTGGTTATAACATGGTACATAATTTACAGTTTAAAGGGGGGGGAGGGGGGGTTGTCATTTGAAAATCATATTATTCTTATTAAGCAATATAAAAAAACTCTCTGCTTTAAAAAAATTGTATAGTAAAATTGTTTATAAAAACTTGCACTACAATAGTACAATATATATTTTTTTAGAAAGGTAAATTAAATTTTTTTTGAGAAAAATTCAACATGACAAATTTGTAAATCTAATTTTTTGAAATATTTTCATGGTAAAAACGTTTAATTGTTTGCATTTTTTTTTAACACTTACGTATACTAATATTTTTGGAGTACTTTCCTAAATTAATTCGAAGCGTGTAATGAATTTTTTTAAATATTCTTTTCGTTAATGTTCAGACATGATAGTAATTCTCAAATTATTTTCCATCCATATAATTTTCATCCTCTTTCCATACGGTTAACAATAGCAGGATCAATTTTTCAGGTATTTCCGTTGCACTCTGTACATATAATATTTTAAAGTTTGTATGCCTAAAATAATTAGGCGTACCTACGATTGTTTGAATACACAGTCCGATTATAACCCGTATTCATTTACATACCTAAGCGCACGCATATATACGTTTAAAAGTATATATGTTCAAACGTCTATATTATATTTTGGGTAACTAAATTCGGTCGTCGGCGTGCTAATTTACCATTTCGTTTACGCCAATTTATTATAGCCATGTAATCGCGTTTACGGCTGGATAAACCTACAACTGCCAGGACGAAAATATTTTCCTTTCACCTGCCTGCTTCGCGGACTTCCTTATAATGATGTTAATATTGTATTAAGACACCCAGTGCTAATGTCATTTCGTCCTCAAAAATTCACTCCATTACCGGAATTTCAATGGTCCCGTCCTGTTGTAGAACCAACTAAATTTGACTATAATTATTTTAATTAATAGAAGGAAAATAATCAACAGCCCGAGTAGTTGAACTCGTTTTTCCATCTATCAAACCTCAAAATGTATATAGTAGGTATGTATGTATTTAAAACAAAGACGATTTTAAGTTATTATTTTATCTATAAATTATAAATTATCTGCAAGCTTATTTTTGACAACTTCGCGGACCTGAATATAGAACATAATATTATTTGCAGACAAATTCATAAAATATTTAACTAATAACATTATAGCGGGTAAGTACTCTGAAATCCGTATCAATTTTATTATAATATGTGATTATATTTAAAAATTGAAAATTTCAATCTTTTTGAAATATTTTGATGAAATTATGAAAAATATTTTTTTTTAAACGTATTTGGTTATAGCTAATTATTAGAAATGATTATTGATTATGTTAACTTATTATCCATGTGAATGCGGTACAACCTTAGACGATACATTTATATAATGCAATTTATTACCGTCATTTTAAAATATTATGAATTTGTGAAATAAAAACCAAAAAAAAAAATAGTAATAAAATATTAATCATTCAATAATGATAATTAAATATAAAAATATTCTTACAAAATTAGTAATTACCCAAAAACCTAAAACTATTTGGGGCGACTGCCCCAAAAGTGTATGCTTGTGACGCCACAGGGCTTGTACTATATTATATTATGTTCTGGGACTTAATACTTACGTCAGTTCTTTTGGTGGCTCGACGAGTATTGGTGGGGGTTTTTCACCGATCACGTCCAGACGTTGCACGAACAATTCTACCTTTGGGTTGGGAACGCCGACCTTTGAATTGGTGAAAAAAAAACAGAAATAAATATTTAACATATTAACCAATAATCACTGATAGAAGTTGATGCGTCTAATGCTGGGGTTGTAATTTTACTTATTTTGTATGAGCATGAAAATGAGACATCATATTTGTAAAAGCGGGGCAATTTAAGCGTCCCAAAAGCTTTTGTCTGGGCATCAGGATGACTTAATATGTAAGGATTTCTGGCCACCCTAGTCACGTGGGTCACCGTTAATTACAATAAAAAATAAAGAATTTTTCCATTAATTTACAATGTTTTGATCGAAAATCAATAAATATTTAAATCGACTTGTTAAGTTATTGAAATGATAAAAAAAGGCATTATATTCGCATGAAAAAGTCAAGCACGACACATTATGTCCTAGTTAACCTCGAATCCGTCAAATATTCAAAACCGTGCAAAATGAGATTTCGTATTTGAATTATTTTGAATTATTCGTATTCAAAAAGGATTTTGACCAAAACCATAATACGACGAAGCGAATAAAAACCATAAACTATTACCCCCCTCCCCCTCTGATATAATAACATGAAATCAAAAAAACTGACGCTCACCTTCGGGTAATGAATACTGACAATACTTGGGTACTGGTAAGCCAGATTACCCGGGAAACCGTACACGGGTATTTGCATTATGGGCACCGACGAGTCGTTGAACGATGCGTACGCCACTCTGGTCCCTAGCTTCGAAAACCAAGTGGCACTGTTCGAACTAAATATCTCCTCTGCGAACAAAAAATAATTGCAAACGCGATTGGTCACACGTCACACATATAAATAATAATAATAATAATAATAATAATAATAATAATAATGTGCGTATCACATTATCATAATATTGTACAGGGCGCAGTTTCATAAAGCATGGTAGTCCCAGTTTTAAAAATTAGTAACATAATCATGGGTCTCGGCCGTAGTGCGATCAATCGGCATAATAATTGTTGTTGAATAAATTCTCAGGTGACTCCTCTCTAGTTTGTACACCACTGCCAACAACTATTGTTAGAACTAAACCTTTATAGGGCCTTAGCGTCGGTTTAGTTACACCTGCATGCACGACGTAAGCTAGGATTTTGGAAGAGTTGGGCCGTCGCCGTGACCTCACATCCCGAAGTGTGTGGGGAGGTGTAACATTTGTCGAAAAAAATCTAAAAAACGTTATAATCTACGATTTCGATTGAAAACCGCTTTGGTTTAAAAACTGTCACAAATATAACGCTTTTTTAAATATATCGTTTTGAAACATCAAAACAGGGAAAGTCAGTTATATATTTAGCTAATAATAAAAGACAAGTTACTCAAACATTGAAACTAATAAATTTGGAATATTACTTAGTTCCTCAAATCTCTAAAAATGTTAAATCAGTGAAAATAATAACTTAATAGAGAAGTTAATTTTTTTATAGTTTAAAGTTTAAATATAGAAACCCCTTTGTTCAAAATAATGTATAGTATAAGTACCTATGTATAACATTAAATTAATAACTAATGAGTAATTAACTAGGTATAGAGGTATACTAATCGCTGAATATTCATATCTGTATAGAACGTGGTATATAATATGGGAGTTTCGTCGTAATTTGAATAGGTAGCAGGTAGTATTACTATAGGTATTTTTCTCATTGAAAATATATATTCACAAACCATATTATATTATTACTATGTATGGTATAAAATTAAAATATATTTAGAAGTAGGTACCTATGTACTTCATTACAACGTTTGATTATTAATAATTGGTATTCATCGTTTATAATGTTCGTAACCATCATATTTGATCGGCGATATAAACGTAACTATAACCATAATGTCGATATAAATATTTTTTATAAATTAATTTAACACTTAAATCCTTAAAGATTTTTAGTGGAGGTTGACAGGTTTAATAACGAAATGAGGGAATCATATTACCCACTTAACGTTTGCTCGAAAATTCATCTTACTGCATACGATAATGCAGATTATAGCTCAATGGCACAAAAAAAAAATATATCTCGATAAAATCAGCAACAATATTAAACCTTAATTTAATTTCACAACCGCACGTGCAACATAATAACTCTATTACTTAAGGCCACGATAAAAAATATATAAACGGAATATATTAAAGGAACCCACAACACAAAAAAAAAATATAAGTTTTTTTAGTTTGAAAGCGTAACATTTTTTATCGCAAGAAAAATGTGACACAGATTTCACGTCATTTCTACTCGCATTGTTCAATGAGTTATGAGGGATTGGTAACAATTCACTAAAATTTTTCAATGTTTATTGTTGTCGTTATTTAGGTATAAAAGTATGAAATGTTTGCCAAGACTTGATTAGGTAATTATAATATTTTACCGACTCATGCCACTTGTTACTAATATTAAAACAAATTACTATAATATGTTTTTAGTACATCATAAAATATACATACAAATAAAGGCTGATCCTCAGAATCGTTTTACGTGTGCAATAATTAATCATCACCGAGTTCAGATTTTACACGTCATACTTTACCTTTCGAGGTACACTCGACACCCTACTATATAGCTATAGTACAGCAGAACGGTCGATTATCTAATTTGTTTATGTTCTACAATGGATTAATTACAATAAATTGTTTTTAACAGTTCGGGCCACAATATAGTTTAATATTGCATAATATTTTGACAATAGTTTTTAGAGACCGTGTTTTGTTCGTTTTACGTACTCCTTTAAAATGGAAAGTCACATTATTATGATCAATAGTTCGGTAATAATCTGACATTATACGATTTGTATAATATGAGTTCGAAATATCATCTCTTCATATAAAAATCACTTATGTACATTTCTGATAGGATTGATGATGGGATTTCAAAGTCTCGGGTTTCGGGTTTCCGCGTCGCTATTAGGGAGGACTCGTCGCGTTACCTTTTCATTTTTCCCAGTGTTGTCAATGCACGTCATGTGTAAAATATAAGCTAACAGTGTACTCACCCTCGTACACCCAGTCAGGAATGCCATTGTACAATTCTGATCCACCAGTGAATGTCAACTGTACGGTGCTCGTCAGGTTGTTGACGTCTTGTATGTAATATATGTTGTTATGATCCACGATCGCTAAACTGTGACCGATGGGTGACCACTTGACCAACTGCAAATCCCACGGATTCCCTGAGTTCTCGTCTGTCAAAGTGAATTGTTCTCTAGACAAACAAACAATACATTATTATAATAACACAGCTACAGAAAGTAGGTATGCAGTGTGTTTGAAATATAAAAAATATGTCTTGAATAGTAAATAATCAATTAATAGATGTTTTCGAAATAAATTTTCAAAATGTGAGTTCCTACACGAGAGTAGTAAGTAAAAATTACACATAGGTACCTACGTTAATTCCTACGTAGGAAATATATAAATTCCCACACGAATATAAATACATATTCATCCGTCCTCTTAAAAATTAAAATGAGACAATCAATTTGATAACTTATAAAATTCTATAAAATATAGTGTATTTTTTTGTTAAAAAATATTGAATTATTTGGAACCGTTTGGGCAAGTGGAAATGTTTTTACCTGCGTAAGATAAAAACCCGTTGACTTTGATGCGAACGTTTTTAAAAATAGGGTCGTGTTGGAACTTACATTGTTTGAAGTTTTTTTCTCCTCTTGATTTGTTAACGATCCTCAAGCAAGTCTACCGAACTCATGGCTAGGACATTTTATACGAAGGTAATCCTAACTAGAATATGTGTTTGTTCGTACGCATGGGGTTACAGTAAATCAAAAATGGTTATTATAATTATTGGTATAATGTTTTAAACCTGTATTTTTGATTTGATCCAAACCACCTTTTAATGGCTGTGTCAAAAATATGTGTAGATAGTGAGTCAGATGTCAGTAAACCAGTCAGTCGGGACTTCTTCTTTAATATAACTAATATAAATGGTAATACTGATAGAGTATTGATAAAACAAGAAACTATTTTATAGAAAAAAAAGTCTCCATTTTAGGAAAAAACATAAAATCATTAATATGCCTTATGGCAGGCCAATATATTTTTCATTCATATCGAAACTCAGTAATTTAGAGAAACAACAGATTACACTTAATGAAAGGGATGAAGGGGGACGAATTTTGATTCCAAAAATTAATATTTTGCATGAGACTGGAGGCCATGGTTTAAAATTCAGATTTCTAGCACCACGGTAGGTACACCAAAAAACATTTTATTTTTTCTATCACATACACTTTGTTTTACCACTAAGAAATTATAAGACATGTTAATATCAATAGAATAGTATGTAATCAATAGACACTCACCCTGTCTTAACGTTGATTATATCGTAGAAAGCTGTAAACGAATGCCTGTAAACCTGTTGACACATAATACTGTTAAATATTTTGCACTGAAACGGTTAAGGTGGGCAATTTACAGTGCAGGTATACCTTTTTGTAGCGATAGGCCAAAAGGAGGTATTGCTTGTCGGCAGAGAGATCGTATTGGAAGGCATTTGCGACATTCTAAAAAAATGTAATTAAAAAAAACGATTACGAAGAGTTAACGATTTTATTGAATATTATTGTAACATGGTATAAAATATGTATAGTTATTTTAATTAAAATAATACGTTATAAACTATTTAAAAATACGAACTTTTGTGGTAGCATTTGCTAAGAATGTCGTGCTCAAATTCTTCACATTGAACAGTACAATATCTCCTTTGTCGTCTTTCATCAATATTTCGTCGCCTGTTTAGTCAGTCAAACAATAAACAGTTGCATTATAGTATTGCAATTATTTCTGATTTTTTCGTTTTTTAATATACTTAGGACCATGTAATAATTTATATTACACAATATGTAAACAATTTTTTTCGCAATATACTCAAGAGTGATGAATTAGGTCGGGACTTTTGAGCGAAAAGCCCATCGTATAAAAAAATATACAGACGGATATGAGAAAACCAAGCGAAATGAATTAAGAACAATATATTATTTTAGTAAAATGCTAACCATTGAAATTTATTTTTAAATTTTATATATTTTTTTTTGAGAGGAGGGGGGGGTGAGACTGTGAGAGCGTTAACCGCTGTTTATACGTCTGAAGTCTGGATTTGTATGCATTTTCATATTTTTACTAGAAGTAGGTGTCTACATGCAATTCAACGGAAGTAGGAAATTTCGATCATTTGTTTGGCAGAGAATGATTTGAAAAACTACCAGTTCAAATTTTGAATTAATAAGTACATCAAATATTTTCAAAAAAATTATCCACTAAATAATTCTTTTTTTTTTTGTATTTATTTTTTTTATTTAATTTTAATTTTAATTTTATTCTTCAAGAAGATAATGGGCCCCACTGAACATGTTGCAGTAAAAAAGTGGGGTTCTCATTTGAAAAACAAAAGTTCGTATCGACACAAGACATTTCTAAAGTAGTACAAGCAAATTTAGGATTCTGAAAAAATTATGGTCTATAAGAATATTTAAAAACAACAAAAATCAGAATTCAAATAAATTCATCATTAAATTTAAAAATGTAGGTGAGCATGATGTACCTACCTATATATGCCCTATATATTATGCTATAGATCAATTAATTTCCCGTTTTTCGCATTTTCCCATTTTACCGATACCTCATGCAGTTATAGTTATTCCCTTATTATACATTACCTACTTGTAATTCGTAAATTATATTTGTACAAAATAAATGAAGTTATAAATAATCATCCTAACTATTCACCTTGGACCCATGTCCCGTTGAAAAGATTAGGTTCGTAGTCGGCGCTGAGAAGTCGTTGAAACTCTAACGGATCGAATTTCAGTGCTTGAGGTTTATTGAATATGTCTGTGGTGAAGTAAATCAACGCTCCGATTACCGAGACGACCAACAATAATATTAACAGAAATACCAAAGGTCTGTTCTTTACGTTCCACACACACTTTTCCTGAAACAAACATTCAATTGTCAGTTCGTTAAATTCGTCATGCTGCATGTTATTATACACAATGATGGGCTTTAACGGGTAAAAAAGTTGAAGTTCAGTTAATTTTAACTATGTTACAAAACGCTTCACTTTGTTCCAAGAAGTACCTGAGTTATAATTGTTTTCCTATAATAATATAAACCCTTGTAGATTTCATATAAAAAAAAATATTAATCGGATATATTATTATCAAGTACCATTTAATAAATAAATTATAATGCAATTTGTATTCTAAATATTAATATGACATTATTAATATTCATATGGATGTTAAATTTCTTTAGCAATTATTTTTATATTCATAAAATCCGAGGGATTACGTTGAAATCTTTATTCAAATATTTATGTAAAATATGTTTGATTCAATTTTATTTTTCTCGTACTAATTAATAGTAAAATATTTTTTTTTCGAGTATTATATTTGTATTAAAATAAAATGGTACCTAACTATAATACAGTTTCGGACTTTTACAATAAATCGTGTCCGGTTTTTTTAGACAATCACTCGCGATTATAATTTTTATGTCAATCATGCATTGGTAGAAAATAATATTTTTGAGGATGTGAAATATCCAATTATTTAAGAATATTTTATACATCAATAAGCGATGGCAACAGAAGAGTAATATTATTCAAGCAGAGCCTTCTCTGCTTTAAACAGGTGGAAGAGGGTATAATGAAATATCTATTTGTCTAAATATTGTCCCGAAACAATATTTAAAAATCATTTTTTTTTTAAAATAAAATTAACCAAACAAATTGCTATTTCAGATGAGACCATTTTACTACTTAAACCGAGTGAACAAGATCTGCCATTGACAGCAATTGTTTGCTCATGTTTAATTTTTTGCTAATGATCAATTAATTGATTGAAATTGAATACATTTAACACGTTATTTTGATTTGGTTGTGAAACAACATAGGTCATATTATGCATCCACGCTAGGCAATTACATTTTTCACCAATGACCAATATTAGTTAGTTGAAATAAAATAAAACTAAACACGTTTTTTGACCTAGTCGTGGGTGGCTTATTATAATGTAGCCATTGCAGGACAGTGCATCAGGCGCCAACGATCATGGTTTCCTTTGCTCCGCTGGCTAATATCAATAATCATATTCTCAATACTTGATGTTCAAATTTAAAATATACAGCTAATTTCATATAGGCACCTACCACCATTAAAGCATTGACAATTTTCAAACGGTTTTTTTTTATTTTAAAATAAACAATTAAATCTGAATATTTCGCATAGAGCTTATGCACTCCATAGCAAGTATACTGCAGCCGGTTTCAATTATTTTAGTATATACTATTATTGCACTCTTATTAAAAATATAAACCGAGCTGTTACTAGTGACCAAACACAGCGAACTTATTATTGGTAATTTAACCATACTTCTTATTTGAATAACATTTAGTAAGTTTTATAATATTGTTATGTATTTGGGGGTTGCAAAAGTACCCCCTCGACACTCCTAATATTGTCATAAGACTTCATAATAATATCGAGTGTACCTACCTATAAGTCGATGATTTTAATTTTTGCACCAGCAAACTCGCTGGTTTTATTGCTCAGGGGCACGAAAATCGTTCAACTCTTCCAAGTAGGTAAGGGTACGTATACGTGATAAATATCTGCATAATCCACCAGTTGTAAACTTGTAAAACGTAAGTTTTTATAGTTGCAAAAATAAACAGTCAGCAAAATGTGAGACTTTAGTCCACCAAAATGATGACGTATACAGGTAATATTCGCGCAACCATGGCAAAAAAAAGGTTGTAAATAGTAATAAACTCTCAATATTTTTAATTTGTTCGCAGTTACAATTTTTTTAATGGTTTTTTTGAGGGAAATGGCAAATTACAAATTTTGAAAATAGATACTCGAGGATGACAGGTCATTGTTTCATACAGATTTCGACATCTTACGAATATAGTTGCCCATAAAAGTTAATCGGAGTTGGCGTGCTCGTCCGTAATTGAAGGTCTGTAAATCGGGAATTCTGAAAGTGAACTAGCGAATTCTGGCACATAACTCGAAAAATATTGAAGACGATTTCCATTCGATGCGTCAACCTGCAGATGCTTTTCAGAATTTACAAATCATTTCCCGACCCGGTAAATAAAAACTGGAAAACGCAATATTATAGGTATATCTTAGTTTTCACTCATATGAAACACAAAATATATGAAAAAGAACTTTAACATTGATTCGTAACAATAATGTGGGAAATGAAATAGAATTTGATTTGATTTTCGTCTAGTAACTTCGGACCGCACGTTTATTTGCTGTATTTGAAAATGTTTGTTCAACTTCAACTTTCTGAACAGTTTTTCTTTTTTATTTAATATATTGGCAAATAGGTTTGCGGTATGACATTATTCTAAATGTTTTGAAAACGTCATTGTGTTGATTGTTGGCTATTGTTAATCCATTAAGACGTATATGAATACTACACGTCCGTGCTTATTAGTTTACTATAGTTGCAACTAAATAAATAGAAAACATATATTTAATATAAAATATTATTTTTATACTGCACAATACGAGAGACATGGGATTAGTAGCCCCCCCCCTGCTAAGCTGTTATTTCTGCTGACATCGCCTCAGTGTACGAAAAATTCGCCAAGTGTGGATACGCTTTTAACGAGATGTATGACAGCTTATTTCGCGTGGACTTGAGAGACGATGAAGTTCTTTGTTTATGTAGACTTGATTTCATCGTGTTGTCACAATCGGTATAGGTAATTTCCACACGATGTTTAATATTTCATTTGCTCTGTTCTTCCTACTCATCCGTTTAAATTTATACAAAATCAATATTATAACGAGTAACAACAATTTCAAGGATGACAAACGATTTATCTCAAATTGAATTTCTTCCTTGATATTTTCCGTTTACTAGTTACTGCTATACCTACCGTAGCGCAAGTGGGGTCCGCAAATAGGGGGTGTTCCATGAAAAATGTCCGATTTTTAAAACGATTATATTTAACACTGTTTTATGTATAGTAAAATATGGTTCAATGTATTCGTTCATGCGTTCAATGGAATATACTTACATGTTTTTAAACTTCTATTATAGTAGGTACTATATGATATTTAAAAAAAAAAAATGAACTTGAATTAAGTATAATAGCAAGTCAATTGTTGACTCCCTTAAGCTTTTAATATCTAACAGAATGAGTTTATTACTTCACTTTACTTTAGGCATTGATGAACAAATGAACAAATGAACAAATGAACAAATCGACACCGGGACGTGCCATCGTATTTTCCTTCTATTATATAGGAGACAAGTTTATTTTTATATTATCATGTAAAAAAATAGTTCGGTTGTCTGCGTTCATCGATTGCCGATAGTTGATGTCTATGCTATATTATAAAATTTATTACATGAAATGTTTATTATTATTATGCAACAAAACTGTAGACGCGATCTATGAAATCATAATAACACTAAAATGACTGTTACCATAGTCTACATTGAAATGGGCTATCTATTTTTATTTAATCAATGCTTTAGGTTATTAAAAAAATGTTTTTTTATCAACTGCCTATTGACTTATAAAATAAACGTCTTTGCGTATGTATATACATTGTACATAATATACATAATGTATGTGAGTAAGCGTGAGCGCGTGTATATTATGCAATAATATGTATGTGTTTCCCGTGCAAAGAATGACGGGATTTGATTTACAGACATTCCTCGTATAAAATAAGAATTTAATACCTGATACGCGTATAGGGCTGAGAACAAAGCGTTTCCGAGATATTCGAATACGTACCTATTACATAATCCAATACGTGTGCGCGTACGCGTGCTTAGACTATACAACTGACACCCGCTCGAGTGCTCCGAGGGCGAGTTTATTGTATTACTTATTTATATCGAGAAAACTATTTTTTTCCCTCTCGCACATCGAGACTCGACGGCCATACGTCACCGGGCGCGTAAACACATTTATTATAATATAATAATATGACGCCGCTGTTTTCTCTCGACGGGTGCGCACAAAATGAGACCAAAGACATCGCGAATCGTTTGAGACACTAGAGCGAGGAGCAGAGAGCAGCGAGCGTCCCCTGTTTTTTTTTTTATTTCGCGTGCCATCAATATGCGATATACCAATATTTAGAACACGAAATCGTACTATCGTAGCTACTATATAACATTGCGTATAGTCACCATGCATTCAACACTTTTTTTGTCATATTTTGTATTTTTTTAACAACCGTTAAGTGTTGTCCAACTGGCTCCACTTGGAACCTATAATAATGAGTACCCATATACCTACGGGAAAACAAATCAAATCGCTAGTATTTTATTGACTAACGTATGACTATTATTATCATTAAATAGAAAACAACCTGGGGGGGGGGGGGAGGGTCCAAGTGGTCCAACATATTTAAATTGATACTGGACACTTATCACATCATTTTCCAAATATTTTCGTTACTTACTGCTTTATCGAAAACATTAAAAATCGTTCTTAATAAAAAAATAAACAGTAGATATTCATAGCTAAAATATATATTATTTTACTTGCGAAAAAATTTCGGGGGAAGGGCCACCTAGTTTCGGCCTCAAGCTTCGCATGATGGTGTTCGTATACCTTTTTATATCGACGTTTTGGTATGAAACCTACAAATCGATGAAACATTGCCGTACGCGCAATGTGATGTATACTTACGTAAGTGACGAATCGCTGCCAAACATATTATTATCATCATAATCGCGTGTCACAATTTATTGTTTTCGTTTGAAATGAAATTCGGTCATCCGGGAGTCAAATCCATATTTTGGCTATAACATTATGGCCCGCCTACATCTACTGGTTGCAGTGACTTCAACATTACCCATAAAAAACGTGGTGCACGTGTGATCGCCAGAATTCCCGCAGAGTTTGCGAACAAGGGTGTTTCGCGTACGGACGATGCCGACTCGCGTG